ATTCCTGACCCACCTGCTCAAAGGTAGCACCGCCCACAGGGGGATGGGTCCTTCTACTGAAATTAAGTTAAGAAAATGCCCCATAAATAGGCCCAAATGTAACCAGCATTTGCTACTTTGTGAGTTCCTCTTTCTTCCACCCTTTCACTCCCCTCACACTATAAAAAAGAGAGAGAAAAGGATAGAGAGGAAAGGAAAGAGATTCCTGAATAAAGTGGGAATGTTACAGTTAGACTACTTTCTGCTGATTAGGGGCGTCAAGTTTCTTGGAGCAAGTTTGGTCTTTGTGTCAGAATATCTAATTTCTTCGTGTTGTCTCTTCTTTGTGCACGCACTCAACAAACCACAAACAGCAGCAACCAGCCAGTAACCCACCATCAACCCCACTCCACCTCTCAGGACCCTACCATCTACATGCCCTCTGAAAAGTCCCCAGAATTCCAAACATCACACGATCACAGAAACTGTCTGCAGCTGGTAAAAATCACATCTCCGCTAGAGCACAAGGCAAATCATAGTCAGCTGCTGTTAATGCTGGTCCGTGTCCCCACGCCTGGGATTAAAACAAAAACATATTCTAATAATATTTCTGTTTTTTTAAACAAACCGAAATTCCCAAATTGTCACTATACCCACAGACCAATCAGATGAAAGCAATTCCTCAATTAAGATTTTCTCTTCCTGTAATGTTGTGGGGAAGATTGTTTGGACATGGGTTTAAGCCAACAGAAAGTCTTTATTCGCTGGCCAGCCAATACACTCAATGTTTGGGATTCCCGTGTATGCAGCCTTTCTCAGAGTGAGCCTTTAAGCATAAAAACTATATTCTGGGCTGACATACTTCAGTTAACAAGAACATAACTACAGAAATCAAAGAGCAAGGTTAATACATTTAGAGTCCAGAACTATAGACTTGGATGGATTAGGTGTTTATTTTCATTTTGACTGGTGGTTCTGTCTCCATGCTAAGTTTTATGGCCTGAACAGTACTTCTGTCACGGAGTCTATTGTGCTAAGGTGCCGGGTTACAAGATGACTCTAGTTTGTGTCATGTTGACAAAGACTAATCAACATGGGGGCTATTATCTCTGCCTGTTCTCCTTCCTCCGTAGACTGTCCATTAAGTGATCTTTTACACGAATCTGCCCATTATTGCCCCTAGAAACCCCAATTCCCCAAAGCTCGCTGAATAAAACTCTCTTTCTCTCCTGCTCCTTCAGCTCCCCTCCCGATCCTCTCTCAGCCTGAAATGCCCCAGAGTCAAGTCTTCCTGTTCATCAAGGTCCTTCTGTTTCACAAAGACCTCCATTATAACTGGCGCTGGAACCAGCCGGACTGTGAGCACCACGTCTGTTACCTGGCACCAAACAGACAGACCTTAGCTCAGCTCCCTGTTCAGCCACAGGTTAGTCATGTGACCTTGGGCAAGGTACAGTACTTAGCCTCCCTGTGCCTTAGTTTGTTCCATCTAAAACAAATGCTGATAATAAAGTAGCTACTGCATGCACAGGTAGCTGTGAGACCTGAACGAGATGATACACGCAAATTGTTTAACCTACTGAGTGGCCCATAGCACCCGGTAATAGCAGTTATTATTAAAAATTAATATGTGGGTAACTACATGAATAAGAGACTGTTTTCTTCTCTTGAGCTTTTTCTTATGGTCCTTTTTTGTCGTTTGTTTTTTGGGTTTTGGTTTTGGTTTTGGTTTTGGTAGACAAAGCGTTTCTCTATGTAGCCTTGGCTGTCTTGGACACTCTTTGTAGACCAGGCTGGCCTCGAACTCACACTCAGAGTTGCTTGCCTCTGAGTTCTGGGATTACAGCATTTTATTATGGTTCTTAATATGCTTCAAAGCCTAGAATATTCTGTAATAGGACTGGAGATGTCATTCAATTGATAGAATGCTTGTGTAGCATGCCTGAAACCCAGGGTTCAATCCCCAGTACTGCATAAAACCAGACATGGCAGTCCAAGCCTGTGGTCCCAGCATTCTAGTGGTAAAGACATCCTTTAGAGGATCTGGAATTCAAGGAATTCAGCTATATAGCCAGTCAAAGGCCAGCCTGAAATACATGAGACTCTGTCTCAAAAAAAAAAAAAAAAATCAAAGATAAACAAGCCAATCTTACATTTTGCATCACTTATATGTAGTTTTTGGTTGCTTTTCCTACTAAGTTAGGGGAGCCCATGCCTGGTCAGAATTATAACAGGGATTTGTCATCATCAATGAAAGGGGAAGGATGAAAAGGAACTTTGGCTACACAGAAGCTTCTCCCAGAGAAGATGTGCTTGCTCCCACAATCCCTGTGCTTTCTGGGGTACCGGCTAGTTACACCAGTCTTTCGTTTTTGTGCTTGCTTGTTTTTGTTGTTATTTTGAGATAGCATCTCACATAGCCCAGGCTGGCCTTGAACTTGCTTTGTGGCTCAAAATGGCCTCCTCCTCTTCTCAAATGCTAGAATCATAGGCCTTCATTGCTGCACCCAGATTCCAGTCTCCCACCCTGTGGCGTGGTGTGGCGTGGCGTGGTGTTTGCACGTGTGGGTATAGGTGTGCATGTGCTCACAGGTGGGGAGACCAGAGGTTGACATCAGATGTCTTCCTCTATATCTTCCCGCCTTTTTAAGATTTCTTTATTTTTTATGTATACATGTTCTGTATGTACGCTAGAAGAGGGCATCAGGGTTCAGCATAGATGGTTGTGAGCCACCATGTGGGTGCTGGGAATTGAACCCAGGTCCTCTGGAAGAGCAGCCCGTGCTCTTAACCTCTGAGCCGTCTCTCCAGGCCCCACCCTTTATTTTCAGATTTGTTTATTTTGCTTTATATATGCGAGTGTTTTGTCTGCATGTCTATATTTGTCTATGTGTGTGTCTGGTGCCTTCGGAGGTCGGACAATTACAGACAATTGTGAGTTACCACGTGGGTGTTGGGGGCCAAAGCCAGGTCTGTCGTATGAAAAAACACTAAGTGTTCTTAACCTCTGAGCCATCTCTCTAGCCCCTCCATCTTATTGTCTGAGACAAGGTCTTCCACCGAATCTGGAACTCACTGATGAGGCTGGTCACTGAGCTCTAAGCATCTGCCAGTTGCCACCTCCTCAGGTCCAGGATCACAGATCATTTGCTGGGGACCTGAACTAAGGTGCTCCTGCTTGAGTGTAGACACCATTGACTGACCTATTGCCCCATCTCCCATTTCACAGTCTTATTTATAATCCTGTGATTGTGTAACGGAGCCAGCCACTACATAACTCTGGACTTCAGCTTCCTTTCTTAAAAATGACTCAATAAGCCCTGCTTCCTTCAAGGCCCCTAAGAGAATCCAGCCAGATCAGGCAGGCGCCCATGAAAGCCCAGGATGAGCAAGAAGAATGAATGCTATATCCTCTTGTCTTTAAATTTATTAATTTACGTGTGTGTGTGTGTGTGTGTGTGTGTGTGTGTGTGTGTGAGAGAGAGAGAGAGAGAGAGAGAGAGAGTGCACGCATACTCAGACTTACTTGTGCCACAACACCCATGTGGAGGTCAGAGGACAACCTGTGTGAGTTGGCTCTCTCTTTCCATTTTTTGGGTCTTGGGAATCAAACACAGGTCCTTAGACTTTGGTGTCTTTACCAGCTGAGCCGTCTAGCCAGTCTGTTAACGTTAAAGTGCCTGAAAAGGCAGCACATTCACCACTGGGATGTGGAAAATGGTTGCAATGTGCTGGTGGGGAAGTAATGGTTTCCTAATCCCATTTGCACTAAAAGTTGAGAAAGGCTCCTTTGGGACAGGATGAAACTTTGGCACACCAAAAAGCTGGGAGATGTTATTTCCTTGTCCAAAACAGGCTCATCTCTCTGGATAAAAACCATCTTTCTCCAGACTTAAAAGTCAGAGAGGGTGCTGGAGAGATGCCTCAGAGATTAAGAGCACTGTCTGCTCCTCCAGAGGCCCTGAGTTCAATTCCCAGCAACCACATAATGGCTCATTAACCATCTACAGTGAGATATGGTCCCTCTTCTGGCATGCAGACAATAATAAATAAATCTTAAAAAAAAAAAAATCAGAGAGTTTGTGTTTGTGTGCACATACATAATGCTTTATTTTGTTTTTGTGCACATACATATGTGTTTTATTTTGTTTGCAGTCCTGGGGATTGAGTCCAGAAACCCCTGTCTCTGTACCACAGCCCTAGCTCTCTTCCTTTTCCTTTTGAGAGGTCTCATTAAATTGCCCAGGCTGGCCTTGAATTCACCACGGAGCTCAGACAAGCTTTAAATGTGATTCTCCCAAGTAGCCAAAGTTACAAGTCTACACACCAGGTTTTTTATAGAATTCATTATACAATTTTTTACAGAAGGGGAGATGTTCCCTAACCACACTCCGGAGCTCTGGGCTTTCTTGTAACTGCTGCGCTTTGGTATCTCCCCCTATTAGTAAACAGTGTTGTTCAGTTGATGGGGCGGGCAGAATACACATTTGCTGGAATTTATTTAACCGACATTATTGTTGGATATTTAAGGTCTTTATCTTTCAGTGCTGAGCTTTGGGGATGTTTCAAGAAGGCATCTTTGTTAGAAAATCGTTACATATTCCCTGGTTATGTCCTTTGAATTCCTGGAAGTGGAATTACGGGCCCAAAGGGTACGTGAAACATTATTGCCAATTTGTTTTCTAAGAGTGATTTTACCCACTCACACTCCCACAGGCAATTTGACAGGGCTCAGTCTCCGGAGTCATTAACTGTCAAACGCCAAACTAGAACTCCGCTCCCGCACCGGGCTTCCTTCTCGTTTTCCCGCCCACTCCGCACACCAGCCGGCAGCCGCACGCGCTCTCCGCCCCGCTCTTCCCAGGCGGACCCGCCTCTTCCTCGCTCCCCATTCTGTCCAATAAGAAACGAGAATCCCTCAGTCTCCTCGTGTGATTGGTCCCTGAGAGTGGCCGTCAGGTTCGGGGGCGGGCGGAGAGGGCTGACGGACGCGCCGAGCGACCAGTGGCGATCCGGGAGTAGGCTGTGCGCCGGCCTGGAAGCGCCAGACTCCTAAGGCGTGCGGGCGGCTGGCAGAGCGAGGCATTGGCGGACATGGCTCCCAACGCGCTGGCTCCCGAGCCGGAGTGTCGGAAGGGCATCCGGGCGGTGCTGCTGGGGCCGCCCGGGGCTGGCAAGGGGACCCAGGTGAGTGTCCGCTCCGCGCCCGGTGGCGGAGCCCGCGGAGCTGCAAGGTCAGCGCGGTCGGAGAGCCGGAAGCTCCTTTCCCGCCCCGAGCTGGGTGGTGAGCCCCGGCCTGCAGGGACCCTTGCGGGGGTCTCAGGCTGTGGCCCGGCGTTTACAGGAGGTTCCCAGTCGGAGGCTGGTGTGGGTTTATGGGGGAACCCAGGCTAAGGGGTCGTGTTAGGGGATCCAGGGGCTGTTAGCTGAAAACTGTGACAGGCAGGGCGATCCCCCGGATCACGGACCTGAGTGGGAGAAAGCTTTGTGGCCAAAACGCCCTCCTTCCGAGTTGGTGATGGATTTCCCCTAATCGGGGATAACTTCTAGGCACAAATGGGGTAGAACTTTTTATTTGTAATGGTTAATGATTAGGGGGTAAGAAGCCTCCAACACGTGGGGCCGAGAGGGAGCTGGCATATGCTGAGCGAGGCGTCCTGCCAAGAGTTGAGGCTTGATCCGTATGAGCCAGCAGTGGTGGGGGCCGGGGTGGGAGAAAACCCTTCCAGTTCATCCGAAAGCTGGAACCATGGGGGTTGTGAGTGGGACGAGAAATGCTTATGGAGCAGCAAAAGATGACTCTGATGATTTTAGGTGGGCGATCTTGGGACGTTCACATGGAGGGCCAAACGGCTAGGAAAAGGGCTTAGGAGTCCAGTGGCGCTCCGTAGTGAAACCGGCTTCACGGAACCTTGTGCCTCCAGAGGATTGGAGTTGCCTTCTGCCCCACTGCGGGGCCTCACTTGGCATCTGGGTCATAGATCAGGGATGGGATTTATGATCTCGCTTAGGATTTACAAGTTGGGTTAGTGATCCCACTTAGGATTTAGAAGCTCAAAGGTTGGGTTATTGGATGTCACTTTCTTGCCAAGTTGTTTGGCATCACCAACCCGCCCCTCACCCCTACCTCCCCGCCTAGGCCTTGGGACCTCGCTGATCAATGGGCTCTAAAAAGGGAATTCTTTCAAGGTTGGGTTCCCAAGCAAATGGGCACTGTTCACCTCACTCTTCCTAGCACTACTGAGTTTATTGTTATTTTTTAAAGATTACCTCTTTCTCTAACACACACACATTGTGAGAGAGGGCGTGTGTGTGTGTGTGTGTGTGTGTGTAGAAACATGCATGCCGAGGTGCATACGTGAAGTTCAGAGGACAGCTTGCTAGAGTCGTGTTTTGTGGGGTTTTTGTTTGTTTTTTTCCTAAAGGGATCCAGTTCAGTTTATCAGACTTGATGGCAAACTACTTTACCTACTGAGCCGTGTCACATTTGCCAAGTTCCAGAAGTTTTAGCAAACAGATCATCAGCATCTTACTCCTGGTTGGGACACCCCCCCCCCCCACACACACACACTTGATTAATAGGAGCGACACAGATTAATGGGGGTGGCAGGAGGTCTTGAAGTCTTAGTTCATTTCCTCTGGCTTTACCTCTGCCTTTGGGCTGTAGGTCCCAAAGGACCACTGTACCCTCTCTCTCTCTGTAAACTTAGGGGTTCTTTTGAGGTTCCACCACCACCTATATGCAGTGATGCTGACGTGTCTTCAGTTCTGTTGCTGTTATTAGGTAATGGACAGTCTATGTTTAATCTTGGATGTGGACAGCTCCTACCGGGAGTTACAGAGTATAGGCAGGATCGCTCACATGTGACTCTTTTTTTTTTTTTAAAGTTTATGTTGAAGTTGACCTTTCACTAGGGAAATGGAGAGCTCATCCAGAGCTGTATAACTTCCTAGCGCCCGTGTTTTCACCTGGACAATGAAAAGCTTACAAGGATATTGGAATATTACGGTCTTCAGATCAGGACCCATATGGCTGATGGTATGGCACATAACAGCTATACAGTGAATGCTGACCACTCGGCAGCACATCTCTCTGCCCCCAGCTCTGGTGTAGCTCAGTGCTGAGCTGATTTATTCAGATGTGGAAGGACATTGCGTGATGAGTTTATTGCAGAAGGCTCAGGAGTGGTGGGAGTTGGTCCAGGAAGGCTTTGTGAAATGATTAGAGGTTTGGCTTGAGAGATGAGTGTGACAGCTCATGCCCTTCTGTAGACCCAGAGACTAAGGCCAAGTTTGAAGACAGTGTGGCCACATGGTGAGGCCCTGTGTCTGAAAACAACACCAGCAAACTAAGAACTGAGACTTGAGAAAACACAGAGCAATTACTTGCCCTCTGTCTGCCTCCCCCTCCATATCAGGAGCCATAAAGGTACTGGTGGTTGTAGCTTCGTAGAATTGAACAAAAGTTCAAACAAAGACTTGAGAGTGGCAGCCTGGAGGGATATTCAGCCTGAAGACACACCTCACACACCCAAATGTCTTACCGGAAGTTTTAAATGCATAAAAGGGCGCAGGTACAAGCTTGTAACCTCAGCTCCTAGGAAGGCCGAAACAGGAGATTGACAATTCAAGTCCCCTGTGGGGTAAGCCCAAGATCAGCCTCGTTACCACACTAAGACCTTGCTTCAGAATAGCAGGGCTGGCAATCTGTGCGCTGGCAGTTCACTTACCCAGCTTGTTTGCATCCTCAGCACCACAGGAAGCAAAAGAGCGATGTAATGGGCCCTGTAACCGTCAGCCTTCCCATCCATCTCCCTATAAATTATGCCAAAGCAACCCCAGGCACCATAACATTTTTACAATATATAGTGCCTCTAAAACAAGTTCTTAAAAAAAAAAAAAAATATTCATCGTGTGTGAGAGGGTGTGTGCTTGCCTGAGTGCACACGTGGAAGTCAGAGAACGTTCAGTCCTTTCTCCTTCCACCACGTGGGTCCCTCGAGTCGAACTCAAGACATCGGTGGGTACTTTTACCTGCTGAGCTAGCGTAACGTTTCCATCCCTTCCATCTCCTGCAGGTATTTTGTTGCATTCAGTTTATCAGCTTCTGTTTCTTGGCCTGGCTGCCAGGTGCTGCCATGCTCTGTCCTTCACTCAGACATTTCCAGTGTTTGTGTCTGCTGCTGCCCAATGCCTAAGACCAGTAATTAATTATGGGTAGCAAAACGGTAGTGTTTTGATTACATGACTTGTTTCGTTCCTCGGCTGAAACATCTCCCTTCTTCTGTCCTCCCTATACCCTCGGTTTTTCAGCGACCGGGTCTCAGCAGGTAGCCTAGGCTGGCCCGGAACCTGCAGTGCCCCTTCCTCGGATTCTAAGCACGCACCACAGCCTGTGCTTAGCTTGTGTGTCTGTAGAGAGAAACTTTCCATCCCCTGTTTGTTTACCCAGTGGCTTATAAAGTCCACCTAAATGCCGGATTTGTTCCCCGATTTGTCAGCCTTCCAAGTAATGAGTTGGCTGCGGAATGTTTTCAGTTGTGAAATTCAAAAGAACAAGAAATCACTACTGTCAGCAGTGGGCCTCCATTGCAGGATGGCAGGATTCGCTTGCAGCCGAGTGCTCTTTCTGCTTTGACTGCATAGACTGCGTGGCCTTCATTAGCAGCTGCTGGCGCTCCTGACCTGTTCGTGCCTAGGGCCTGCTTAGTGATGTTCCAGTTTTCCTCCCACCACTCCTCTTGTACCTGTATAATTCCATATTACATGACTCATGTCAGCATGGCTAAAGAAATGTGTTCTTTAAAATTTTTCTGGGCTGAGTTACAACTCAGTGGGCACCCATAATTTTTATTTATTTATCTTAAGGGAGACTTTCTCACTGGCCTGACGCTCCTCCTATGTGTGTAGGTCAGACTAGCTGGCCGGTGGGTCCCAGGGACCTGTCTGTCTCTGCCACCCAGGTGCTGAGATTACAAACGCATAGCACCTCACCCAGCTTGTATGTGGGTTCTGGAGCTCAGGTCTTTGGGCTCACTGAGCCAGTGCTTTTCCAGCCGAGCGATATCTCCAGCCCCACCCCACTTGTACAACAGCGAGTACCTTAGACAGGATCCCGGCCAGACCCAAGTTTCACTGTCTAGGGGAGTGCACGCATATACGGCCTGGGTGGGTGGGTGTGTTCTCCCACAAGACCAGTAGGAAGCAAGGCACGGTCTTGCACCTGGCTGTTGGTGTGCCCTCTCCACGCAGCCATAGAGTCACCCGGAAGGGCGTGTGAGCAGCCCACCGCTGTGGGTAGCAGTTGAACACTTGAGTTACCAGAGTGGCCTTTCTCTCTGTCGGTGCGACCCTGGCTTCTATGATTGCTCAAGTTAATTTTAATAAGCACGGGGTCGATTGGCAGAAAGCTCTGTTCCCTGGCGTGTGTCCACAGTGCAGCCGGCTTTCCACTGTCAGCAGTTGCTGGCCCTAATTTTTACGGGGTGCAGTCTCTAACGCCTTCTCGCCAGGTTCCATTTCCCAATCAAGTGATTTGCTCACCTTAGTGGAATCAGTCTGTGAATCACAAACCAGAATTTCCTGCGTCAAGCCCCATCAATTGTTTCGTCCTGTGCACCCAAGAGAAGACCCAATGAACTTGTTTAAACAGGGATCTTAGCTTCGAGATTTCTAAAACAGCTGAGCACCTGTGACTACAGAACCGATATTGCAGGCCCCAAGACCGTTTTCCATTTAAAGCCGCCTGACCCTGAGTGCTCGAGTGTTTAATGTCCTTGTGGAGAAAGCTAAATGTGTGTGGGGATAGGGACCTCGTGTGTGCCTTGCTGCTGAGATACATCTACCCAGCACCACCTGGGAGCTTTGGGAGCTGTGTCCCCCGTTCCTTCGGGGTTTTTGTTTTGGTTTTGCTTGTTTACCTCCAAGGTTTGTGGAAGAGCCATGAGCAAATATTTCCTTTTCGTTTAAATAAACTGAACTGGGGCAGAGGTTGCTGCGACGGCTCACAGCGGATCTTTGCTGGCGCTTTGCATGCGCCAGTTCTGTATTGGATGCTGATGGGCTCCATGATGTGGAGAGGATTAGTACCCTCTTCATTTTACTTAGAGATTTAAAACCTAGAAAGGAGAAGAAGCTCCTCAAGGGACTGAGGTAGTGCGCAGCTTGGCTTGAGCCCACCAGCTGGACAGGCACCTCTAAAATCCCAACCACTCAGGAGGCAGGGGAATGAGGTCATGAGGCCAGCCTGAGCTGCCTGGTAGAACCTCGTTACAAAACAACCTAGAAGCCCTCCTAAAACTGACCTACAGGTGATTACTGTGCACATGCTCAGCCTGCCCATCTCATGTCCACATCACAGCCACTTTCTGAGTGGACTGTTCTTCGTGTTGAACACATGTGGAAGCTGTTCTGCAGCTTTGAGAAGTGAGTGATTTAGCCAAGGTACTGCAGCAGTTCTGCCTTCCCTGCCCCAGCTGCCAGGCCTAGTGGCCACACACTCACCCTGTCTGTGGCAGATACTCACCCACGCCATAGTCCATCTGCTTTATAAAATGAGCTAAGTGTCACAGCAGCTATGTGAAGTATTGCATGGCTGCTGTGTTCTCCATTATAACCAGGAACATGGCCTTGTGTTTCAGTGGGGTAGTGGCAATTGCTAGTATTTATGATGGCTTCCTGTGTGCTAAGTATTCCAAGTACTTTGTATGCATTATCATGTAATCATATAATTCTTACAATAACCCTGTCATTGCTTTCCATTAGAATGTAAGGTAAGATGCTCTTATTCCTGTCAGCAGCAAGAAAGTAGGCATTTGACTAAGTTCACATAGCCAGTAAGTGCAGGGCCTACAGTGTTAACTCTTTCTTGGTTTTTGTCTTTGGCTCCACAGGCACCCAAATTGGCTGAAAACTTCTGTGTCTGTCATTTGGCTACTGGGGACATGCTGAGAGCCATGGTAGCTTCAGGTTCAGAGCTGGGGAAGAAGCTGAAGGCGACAATGGATGCTGGAAAACTGGTAGGTTTGTCATACCTGTGAGGCATATACCTGCGTCCAGAACGGTGGCTCCCAGCTACTTGTGGCTTCTTGGTTTGACTTCCTTAAACATTTGCATCCTTACTGGTAGTAGACACACTTGAAGTCTTCACCAGCCAGCGCAGGCATAGAACATTCCCACCATCGTAGACAGTCTTCTGAGACAGCCCTGTGGGAGGTGTTTCTAACAGACTGGCAGGTAATAGGAACTTTGAGCAGAGCCTAGTGTTTGCCGTATTCTGGATTTATAATGGATGGTTCAAAATTTATTTGCACAGTTTTGTTATTTTGTGTGTATGACAAGCACTTTTCCCATAAAACCATCTTGCCAGTCCTGTTCACAGTATTCTATTTTCTTTAATTAAAATATAGTTACAAGAGCTGGAGAGATGGCTCAGTGGGTAGGGGCACTGGCTGCTCTTTCAGAGGACCTGGGTTTGATTCCCAGCAACCACATAGCAGCTCACGACTGTATGTAACTCCAGTTCTAGGAGATCCTGTGCCCTCTTCTGGCTTCAGCAGACACCAGGCATACGCATAGTGCACATACATCCATATAAATAATAAATTTAAAAGTTAAGCATGTCTGTGGGTGTGTGTTTACCAGACAGACATGGTGGAACACACCTTTAATCTCATCACTGGGAAGCAGGCAGGTCTCTGAACTTGTTCAGCCAGGGCTAAGACCGTCTCTCTCTCTCTCTCTCTCTCTCTCTCTCTCTCTCTATATATATATATATATATATAATATATATGTATGTATGTATATATACATATATATATAATTTATTTGAGTATGTATGTATATATATGTACATACACATATATACAATTACATCATTTCCCTCTTTCCTTTCTTTAGCCCCTCCCATATGGTCATAATATTGGTTTTGTTGTTGTTGTTGTTGTTGTTGTTTTGCTTTTTCAAGACTGGCCTCAAACTCACAGAGATGTGCCTACTTCTGCCTCCCTTGTGCTGGGATGTGCCATAACACCCATTGTTCACAATATTCTTGAAGATACTTTGTACTAATGCTTTTTATAAAACACCCAAAACGAATATAACAAAGTGAAACTGCTATTTTGTGGACAAGACTCCCGGATATATGCAAATGCAAACTCAGGAGACCACAGAAATATTTTAAAGCTCTTCTGTGGCTCACTGCTCTGTGTTTCTAGCGAGGGAGTTACTTGGCAGTTGTGGAAAAGTGATCCTGTGTAATACGCCAGTTGGCCTGATTGACAGATACAGTGGATTGACTAAATGTTTGTTTAGGGCCAGAGCTTGCGGCTGACACTTATTCTGGAACCTGACCTCTGCTGACACTTGCAGGATTTTGTTCTGAACGCAGTAGGCGAGTACTGCACCACTTAGCACACTGCGGTCCCTCCGATGCTTTGCTCTTGTTTTTCATTTTTAAAATTGTACCCTGTTAGTGTGTGCATTCATCTGAAGGTGAGGACAGCCATGAGAAGTCGGTTCTCTCCTTCCACCTTGTGTTTCCTGAATTCAAGCTCAGGTTTTCAGGCTTTGGTAGCAAGCTACTACCACTGAGCTGTCTCATGGCCCTATTTTTAATTTTGAAACAAGATTTGTCGCGTAGTTTTGGTTGGCTCAGCACTTGCTATATGTCGAGATTGCAGGCATGGACCACCAGACCTGGTTTCTCTGATCCCCTGCTTCTGATGCTTGGCTGAAATCTGAACTTTGTTTTTATCCCCGAATTACCTCCTATTAGGCCTGGAGATTCTAGAGCAGTATTGAGTGGTACCACAACCTGTCTGTGCACACACTGCTTTCTTACTTTCCTTTCAGATCAGTAAGGCCATGGATCAAGCCAGAAAGATAGATAATTTGGACTTTGGGTTTGTGCAGAAAATTTCACGTGAGAGGAAATTGGGATGTGGCCATGAAGTTGCTTATCTCCAAGCCTCCATCAGTTTCAGGGTGTTACACTTTGTCCCTAACTTCATAGCTGGTCCTGAAGATAAAAGGTTTAACTGCCAAGATCGGTCTTTACTCTAATACAGATGGGAGCTTTTCTCTCTCTAAAGGCTGTGGGGGGGGGTGTCAGTGACGGTGAGTTTTCTTTTAATGCTGTGAGAGGTTTCTAGTGGGACTTTGGAGAGCCTTAGACTATGCTGGGGTGGCTTTTCAGTTCCTTGTTTGTGATCCAGTACTGCCAGCTCAGTGCAGTTCTTCCCCATGTCTTAGCCCAATAAGCAAGCCTGCATCTCAGTCATGGTAGTGTTATTCTAACGAACTGTAAATCAGGCATCATTGGTACTTTCCTACATCCTAGTCAAGCTACCATTCTGTCCTGGTTGTCAGGTGATGGCAACTTGTAGCTGATAGTTAAACAGCTACTGGAAGAAGACATCCATAGGGCCTGAGGTGTGGCACTCAGGCTCTGATCTCTCTTCCCTTACCCACTTCATTGAACACATTAGAGTTACAAAGAGAGACATGTCTGGCCACTACAGAATTATGGGAATGAGTGTTGCAGACGGAGCCTATACTGGTCAGCTTTGCATTACTGCAATAAATACCTAACAGAAACCAGTTAAAGAGGAAATACTGAGCCAGGTGGTAGTGGCGCATGCCTGTAATCCCAGCATTCAGGAGGCAGAGGCAGTCGGATCTCTGAGTTCAAGGCCAGCCTGTTTTACAGAGTGAGTTACAGGACAGCCAGGGCTACAGAGAAAAACCCTGTTTTGAAAAAACAAAAAAAAAAAAGAGAAGGAAGGAAGGAAGGAAAGTTAGTTAGGTTGCTTGGTGCGGTATTTCTGGGCCTCTACTGAACTGTTGTATAGACGTGTAGAGCAAAGCTGTGCCCCTTAGAGAGAGAGAGAGAATGAGCAAAAGTGCATGCTTACTCAAGCAAGGTGGCCCAACAGTAAAAGTGTGTTCTCAAGCCCGATGACCTGGGTTCAGTCTGCTGAGCACATGTAAAGGTGAAAGTGGCTCCATGCACATTCGGTGGTTCGTGGGCCCTCCCTACCCATCCTACATACGTAGTAACAAAGCTTAGAGATACAGTTTTGGAGATCAAGCCTTCAACACTAAAGGGGAAACATTTAAGGTCCAGATCTCAATGGAGGTCTCCCACATGTGCTCTGATTTTGCTTCTGTGGGTCAAGTTGACAGGTCTGAACCCAAGGCTCTTCTCTTCCAGGTGAGTGATGAGATGGTTGTGGAGCTCATTGAGAAGAACTTGGAGACTCCTTCATGCAAAAACGGCTTTCTTCTAGACGGCTTCCCTCGGACTGTGAGGCAGGCTGAGATGGTAGGCAGTGTCCATGCCCTGTTGCAGGAGGGCAAGTGCTGGCCCTTTCTAGACTCACCCTGAAGGAGACGGGTCTCAGGGTTAGGGTCACACGCTCTCTTACAGCTCGATGACCTCATGGAGAAGAGGAAAGAGAAGCTTGATTCAGTGATCGAGTTCAGCATCCCAGACTCCCTGCTGATCCGGAGGATCACTGGAAGGTAAGTGTCCATGGAGATCCCTTCGTGCTTCCCAGAGCTTTGTGGGGCAGGAGCTTGGTGCCATTTCAACAGGTTTCCATCTTGTGCATCAGTATGTACTAGTGTGGTAACCTGGGCCAGGGCATGGAGAGAAGAGCGAGGGATTCCGGGTCAGACATCTGTGTCTAGGCATGTTTCTTTTATTAATTCTTTGTGAATTTCATACATTTTGATCATATATGTCCCCCATTCCTCCCAGATTTAACCTTCTAGCCCTGTGAGCAAACTTTCCCCTTTTAATAATGCCCCACCAAGTCCGGTTTGTGCAGCTCATGTACTTGGGGGTGTGGTGTCGTCCAGTGAAGCATGGTCAACCCACCAGGGGCCATACCCTTAAAGAAAACTGCCTTCCCTGTTCCTCAGTTAGGCTTAGGGGCTCATGAGCCCTCCCACTCCAAGCTAGAATGTTGACTAGTTGATCTTGTACAGGTCTTCTGCAGTGAGTTCATGAGCACAGTGGTCCTTACTGTGCCCAGAAAATACTATTTGCTCCTGTCCTCACCGACCTCTGGACTTACAGACAGTTGTGAGCTGCCACGTGGGTGCTGGGAATCAGTTGGATCCTCTTGAAGAGCAGCCAGTACTCTTAACCACTGAGCCATTTCTCCAGCCCTCCCCTCCCTTTTTCTTTGCTTTCTATTTTGTTTTGTTTAATGTTCGCACAGCCTGCTTGCCTAGTGCCAGTGGAGGTCAGAAGAGGGCATCAGGTTCCCCTGGACTGCAGTTATAAACGTTTGTGAGCCACTTTGTGGGTGCTGGGAATTGTACTGTAACTGTACATCTTGTGCTCTTAACCACTGGGCCATCTCTTCAGCACCCCCTAACCCCATCTTTTAACGAAGTAAATTTTGTTCAAAGCTTGTTTCTCTTATTTCCGTAAAATAGTGTCAAACACAGAAATGCTTCTGAACAAGTTTGTTGAGACATCGTGCACTTTTCCAGGCTGTGGTTTCTCTACCCTGTTTCTCTGCCTCTGCTTCCTGTCTGCCAGCACTAAGAGCACCTTTATGCTTTTTCTATTGTGTCATGGAGGGAGGGAGAGAAAAGGGGAGAGATTATTGGTGAGCATAATTAAGGGTGCTACAGCACAGCTGGAGCTCTCAAGAGTACGGCCTGCCACTTGTCCGGGGTCCAGTCATCAGAGATGGCCTGCTTCTCAGTTAGCGTACCTTCAGATTGATTTGAATTAATTTAGTAAAGTCCCACATTGAGATGTGTATCTTTTGGTGGCAAGGGAACTTGAACTTGGCCCTGTCCAGGGCCTCAATCATAGGTTCCTTATTCTGCATCCAAGCTCAGATGTTCTTGATGACCTGACCAGTATGAATCCTGGGGCTCCTCAAAGTTACCCCACATACCTGTTTAGAGCCTAGATTGGGGACCTCATGAGACCAAAGGCATAAATACTGCTCCCAAATTGTAAATGGCCCTCCGGACACCCATTAACAACAAGCTTAGCACACCATTGGAGGCTGATCAGAGAACCTCCTGTATGCAATTGTCTAGAAGGAATGTGCCTTTTTCTTTTTTTCTTTTTTTTTAATCTTTGTCATTTTAATGACCCTCTGGATGGTAGTAAACCTGCTGTCTTAGACATTCACGGTCATTAATTTGGATTGTGGTACTTCCCAGCATTCCATAAATCACTCTTTAGGTGATGTCCCTTCTTAATATACAGTTGTATTGCTTCTAATTGATGCTGCCACCATTGAAAGGGTATGTAAATTTTATATTAGGAAGCAAATGTCTTGTCTCGTTAGAGTATTACTTAGATTTCCTAATGAGGTTGAACTTTTTTGTTCATGTTTCTATAATGCATACCTTCAAGGAGAGACCCAGATGGGATTACATAACAGTGTGAGATGTGTTACCCTGAAAGGCTGTGGGGGGTACAGTTAAACCTACTTTATGTTCATTTTCTTTTCAAATTTCCATTATCTGTGTTTCCAGCTATTTCATAGGCTTCTGCACAACAGAGACTTGCGTTTCTTTACATTCCCATTGGACATGAAGTAGACAGAATTGATGTTGATGTAGACCAAGAAACAGTATGGTCAACAGTAAGGGACATCCCTAGCCTTGGTGTCTGTGAGGTACAAAGCATCAATAACAGATCCAGTGACACTGGAGGCCTTTAACTGGATGAGTTCCTGGGTACCTGCCCTTACATCAGCCGTACCCCAGGGCTGAAGACCGTGACAAGCTCTAGGAGAATAGTACAATAACGTCTACTTCTGCTCTCTGGCCACTTGGTGCAGTGGGAAGAGAGCCTGGGGACAGGTGGAGAAGGCTGCCTAGGAGAAGTATGTGTTAACTAACCCTGAATGAGGGTGGTTTCAGGGTCGCTTTTCCACCCTGGAGTGGAAGTGGGAATGAGGACCAGTTGGGGCTGGGCTCGGGCTGGAGCCTGTGGTAGACTTGTTGAGCCAGGTAGGAAGTGTGCTTGGGAAGCTGGAGGGGCAGCATGGATGAAGTTGGGAAGAAAGGATGGGTTCGGCGGAGAGAGTGGGCCTCACAAAGTAATAACAGAAAGTCATTAGAGCTGAGGACAGAGCTGAGAAGTCATCACATGATGTGGAGCCACGTGGTATTAGGGCAGAAACAGCATCCTAAATCCTAAAAACACTACCTCAGTGCTGACTGTAAACGGGGGGGGGGGGGGGGGGGGGGGCCCGCGGGGGGGGGGGGGGGGGTGGGGGGGGGGGGAGGGGAAGGTCGTGGATGTGGGGGGGGGGGGGGGGGGGGGGGGAGTAGAGGGGCGAGCGGGGA